ATGTGGAATGAAATTCTCAGGATTGCTTTTAACAAGAAAGAAATTCTAGTCAGTCTGAATCCTTCACATGTTAACTTTAAGTTGCTACAGATGCACACATGAACATGCTCATGCCTGCATTCCTGACACAGGCTATTCCTGTGTAGCTACCATCAACTTGGTAGTGCATTCAGAGGCCTCATGGATACTCTGCAAATAGGATAGATTGTAGCAGCCAGGCCCAAGATTGAATCCAGGTGGTCCAGGGCTGAGATGGGGGTCTTGGACTAAGTTCAATCTACAGGAATGTCATTTGGTATATAAACAGCCATGATTTGGATAAACATCTGCCACTGGCCATTGCTAAAGATTTGATCCCTCTTGGGTGCTTTTGTTCGAAATACTGAAAGGTACTGGCACCTCTGAGAGGCAGGTCTTAGTGGGAAGTTCTTAGGTCAGCTAAGGTGTGGCTTTAAAGAGAACTTTGGGACAATTCGTTTCTCCCTTGCGTGGCTGCCATGAGGGGAGAAGCTTCACTTTCTCATTGCTTCCTGCCATGATGTGCCTTCCACAGCCTGCTCCCTTCCATGGTGAGCTGCCTTGCCACAGAGCCAATGCTCCCAGGCCAACTGATCTCAGTTTGAAAACCCAAAACTTGCGAGTCAAAACAAATCTTTTGTCATTTTATTATCTCAGTTTTTTTATATAGTAGCGGAAAACTGACTAAAACCTGGCATTTTTATTTTAACAGTTCACATTTTTCTTTCAGAAGAGACAACAAATGGCCTTTCATTTCTCCAATACAACAGGAGGCTTCATCTCAATAGTGATGGCTCCTTAATGTAAGGGTTTTTTATCCCACCCTTGATCCCAAGTCTCCGGCTGACAGTCTTGTAACTGCCTGCTTCCCTTCTGTACAATGTCTCTCTGTCCTCACATGTACTTGAGGTCATGGTCCCTCTTCTAGAGACATTTTATGGTTCCCTAAGTATCCCCGAGATGAATTCTGTATTCTACCAACTTATCTGTTGAAATCCTAACCTTCAGAACCTTTGAGAATGGAGCCAAGATATTGTATAGAGGGAACTAATTCTGAATGAGACTATTAGGGTGGGTTCTAGTCCAGTACAACCGCTGTCCTTTTACAGATGACAGCGCACCTAGGGAGAATGCCATGTGAAACTGAAGGAAGAGATGGCTACAAAAACAGAGTCAAGGAACTGCCCCAAATTTCCAGCACACCAGTGGATGTGGGGTTGAGGATGGGAGAGGTGAGTATTACAACCTGCAGAGCCATGGGCTGCCTTACCCTGCAGAGCCATGGGCTGCCTTACCCTGCAGAGCCATGGGCTGCCTTACCCTGCAGAGCCATGGGCTGCCTTACCCTGCAGATGGAGTCAGTCCAACATCTTGCTCTCAGAGTTAGGGACAATATGTTTCTATTGTGTAGACTATTTAACTGGTGACACCTTGTTATAGCATCTCCAGCAAACAAATGCTCCAGATGGCTAAAATTGAGTCAGCATCTTCCTTTGATCACAGGAAAGATAAATAGGCACAGGTGTCTAACATGGGCAATCTTCAGTGTAGGGAAAGGCTCCCACAAGGAAAAGTCCCCTTCCAAACTCAAACACCCCCCACATTCCTAGAGCTTCTAACACAGCTGTGTCAAGTTACTAACACAGCCTCTGTCTACTGTAGCTTTGGTGGGTGCTGAAAAACTTCTGGTCAACCCTGAAGGAAAAGAAGCTGACAGTTGATTCTTGAATGGGTGATGGTAGTTTTAGTTGTGAAACAATTGCATTTATTGTGTGTGTGTGTGGGGGGGTGAGGGGCATGCCATGGTATGCAAGAGGAGATCAGAAGGCAATATGTGGGGCGTCAGCTCTCTCCTTCAACAATGTGGGTCTTTGAGATTGGACTCAGGTTGTCAAACTTGGCGATAATCACCTTCATGTACTGAGCCATTCCACGGGCCTGAAGGAGGTATTTTAACAGAGAAGAGAGAAGGAGGTTGCTTTAACTCTCATCTACTGCCAAGCTGGACATGGAGTAGAGGCTCCTGTGCCTACTGTGAGGCACCTTCTGCTTTTTGACTCTTCACGGGTTTTTCTCCCTTATCTGATCCAAATGGCACAGAAAACCATGGGAGACGCTAAGTCTGTGGATCTTCTGTTGGCAATGCTGGAATGCTGGCAGTCCTCCAAGGGCCTGGGGTCACTGGCTTTTTGTGGATGGAGTCATCTCATGTTTCAGTGTTTTAGCTCCTTTGTTCCTGACAACCCCATTGGCAGTGGTCCTGCAAACAGTCACTTCACCAATCAATCAGCACCCCAAACTAGAAGGGAAGAAACATGCTATTCCTTCCTCAGGAGGCCACTCTGACAGGGCACCCTACCTATGAACTTTGAGGAGCATGGCACCATGTCTCATTTTTTTTAATGATCATGTTCTTGAAGTATTAAATTAGATCGGAAATAAAAGAAATTGATCCATGTGGAATATCACGTCAGGGAAAAGATGAAAGAAAGCTGACTCCAGAAGAAAACAAGACACCTAAGAGTCCAAGTCAAGGTGACCCCTCCTTAGGGATCAAGTTCAAAGCTCCCTGGAAGATACCCAGAGAGGATGTAGCATGGATTTGCACAGTCGGTTTGGTCTTGGTCGGAGTGAGGGGATGTCCTGAGGTCTCTCTATTTCCCTTGACTAGGGGCTACTGGGGAGAAAAGTGTTGCTCACATGGCTTGGACAAGGGACCCATAGACTAATGGACCTTAAGCATTCTCATCAGTAAGAATCTCAGCATGCCCCTCACATGTACCATTTATGTATATGTATGTATGTATGTATGTATGTATAAATGTATGTATTTATGTATCTGCCTACCTACCTGTTTAGACAAGATCAAATGTAGTATAGCTTGGCTTTGAACTTGCTTTGTAGTCAAGGACGACACTTTGAACTTCTGGTCCTCCTGCCTCCATGCCTCCATCTCCTAAGAGCTGGGATTCCAAGTGTGTACCACCATTCATGACTGTGTGCTATCAGTTTATGGTTAATACATAAATAAACAAACAGGAACTACTTCATGAATGTGCCAAGCATATTATAATGAGGTGTAGATAAAGAAATTAAAATGAAAGAAATAATGAAAGTATCCTGTCCCATGCCCGGGGACAGACTTATTCCCTCCTGCACTTGTTGCGCTATCCTGGAATCCTGAGTCTGTAGGCATAAGCAACAGCAACAATGCATACCCTCTCGTTCATGCTCCCATCGCTAACTAGGGCACTCTCCAACCATGGCTGACTGAAGCGGCCATTTGTTATAAAAAGAACCCTGATGATTTCTCGACTGAGTCAGGAATGTCTGCTCCAAAGCACCCACAAGGCAGTGCTAATGAAAGTTGGCTGGTGACTTTCCTCAGCACTGTGACAAAATATCTTACAGAAGGAACTAAGGGGAGGGAGCTTTCACTGGCTCCCAGTTGCAGGTAGGGAAGCACCACTGAGGTCATGGCAGAGTGGCCCCATGGTGGGATTCCTTCCATCTCGGTGGAGCAGGAAGCAGAGATCTCTAACTAGAAGGAGGCTATGACCTCAGCAACCCATTCGCCCCAGTTAGGCCCCACCCACTCGAAGGCTTCTGCAGCCTTCCTAAACAGCACATCACCTGGAGATCGAGTATTCAAACACTCACATCTGTAGTGGATACTTTACACTCAAACCTTAACCAAAGAATAATCATCATGCTTTTTAGGTAGAAACCCAACTTTCATGCTGTCCCTCACTCCCACTCCAGGACTATTCTTGGAGTGTTGTACTTTTTTCCCTTATGCTACTAAAACCATCAGGCTAAAATATAGCTTTCTTTCTTGCTCATCTTCAGTGGGCTCTCATGGACTCCCAGTAGTATTTATGTCTTGGAAAGGAAGAAGGATTGGAAGAAGGAGAATTTCTTGGACAAAGGTTTGAACACATAACTTTTCCAAACATGGACAGCCATGTCTCTTCCCCTTCTGAGTTTTATGTCCATGGCTGCCAGAGTATTATGATGGTGGGATATACGTGTGTGTTCTGCATGAGAGGCTGGGCGCATTTTCCCTTTGGGAAGATGATTGCACACGCGCATTTAGATGCACGCACACACACACACACACACACACACGCACACACACACAGAGGTAGTAAGAGCAAGTGCACAAGGAGATGTACGTGTGTGTGTGTTCTGATAATTTTGTTCTCCACATATGAATACTGTGTTATACAGTACCAAATCAAATCAGTGTTGACTATTTCACACAACCTGAATAATTACCACAACACCTTCCAGTAAGGAACCAAGTTAATTATGAGAAAGAAGCTATATATAGTAATATGCAGTAATAGAAAAGAAATAGAAAACTAAGACAGTAAGTGAGGTTTTCTAAGCCCAATGTCCTCAACTGTAAATTGAGCATTAACATGCCTCTCTTATAGGAAATTCAAAGAAAAAATGATTTAATATATGTAATGTGAACTGCTTAGAAGCATGCCCAAATGGCAAATGTTCAATATATGCTACCTAATAACATGTAAACTTAGATTTGGATGACAAACCTACATAAGAATTTAAGATATTACTACAACACAAAGCTATGCTATGCCTTTAATAACTATACATACAACATCCATAACCATACGTACAACATTCAAGAAGCATCCCAGAGTAGCAATGAGATATCATTACCAAATACTTGACTACATAATAGTGTGCTTGACTGTTTTCATAGTTAACCAAACCACAACTCATTTACATACAGTCCTAACCCTTGAATCAAGTGAAATGTTCAAGATTTGGTTTAGTGAAGGGGAGAGACTACAAGTAATCATAGGGACAAACTAAGATGCTATCCACTGATTTTGTATGTAGTAAGTTGCTAAGAGACACCAAGAAACAGGCTGGAGATGGAGGCTGAAGACTTCTACAGGAGCCACAGAGCCTGTCCTGGGCTCAGAAGGGCAGGGGTGCTGCTTTCCTACCTGGTGAGCTTGGTGCCGATCTGCTGTCTGAGCTCCAGCCGCTCCTCATCTGTCTGTCTGGGAAGGATGTTCTTCTCTTCTAGCTCTCGCTTTGAGGGCCTGTTGCTGAGTTTGATAGCTAAGGAGTCCTTCCTGCAGACCTTCATGGCCAGAGAGCCTGTAGGAGGGAGAAGTTAGTCACTTAACAGAGACACCATCTGGCTGGATGTCAAAGAGGTCAACCATGAGTAAGCTAGGAAACAGAAGGTAGGAAGACAGATGCAAAGGGCTTAATACCCAAGAACATTAAAGTCCGAGTCCCTAGCACTGCCGCCATTGTCACACTGTAGACACCTTACACAGTGTGGGACATATTGCGTGGTAAGGGGAGCCTCTGACTGGATCTCTCCCTTAGAAATCCCCAGCATGTGGCAACATCACAAAGGAGGACAAGACCTGCTGTGCAGTGCCATAGAGAGAAGAGAAGCAGGGAGGACAGAGGTCTCAACAGCTAGGAAAGACTTCACAGAAGAGGGCTGCTGCCAGGAGAGAGGACACTCCCGCAGGGGACAGGCTTGTGGGAATCCACACCTGCATATGTTCAGTGGTGACATGGATGCTAGGAACCCTCAGGAGACAGACAAGAACAGCTACCTGGAGCTCAGGGCATGTGAAAGGAGATAATATTACTACTGTGTGGTCAAGGTGAGGCCATTTGGGATGAGAGCAGAGTTGAGGACTGTGAAATGAGCAATAGTCTGGGGTTGTTCTTTCTTTGGGACACACAGGTTTATGAGCATCCAGGACTGCTATATATCTGTGACTTCAACCAGAATTGATCTTGCTCTTTAGCAAGCAGTTGGAGGCATTTTGGGGGGTGTTAAAGGTTAGGTGACAGTTGGAGGCTGGTGCTGCCATCTAGCTGGTGGAGACCCCGGAGGCTGTTAATCATACTGCAGTGCTCAGGACCACTTTCACAAGAAAGAATGATATGGTCGGAAAGGCCAATAGTGCTAAGGAGAAACCCTGACACAGAGTCTTCTACTCTTAGGCACCACATGGCAGACAGGCTCAGTGGCTACTTCCTTCTACTAATGGGCCATTGCAGTCTCTAACTGCAACTCTATGGCTCTGTCTTCCTTCTCCATTATCTCCATTTACAAGTCAAATGGAACTATGTTGATGCTCTGAGATTGTTTTAAGACAGAGATATGAGACCACAATCTTAGCTCATTGCTGGGAGCACACTATATAGTCAACAAATGTCTACTGTTAGGATAAATTCATTTGTTAAACAATTGGCCTGAAGTCAGCTACAGCTATCCTCACACCATTAAAACCTTGGTATTCATGGCCAGAGCAACAGATTATCGAATTGCTTCCTCTATTTCTTAAAACAGTTAAAGGTCTTCAATGGAGAATTTAATTCAGGTTTTCTAAAGTTGATGAGGTCCACTTGAGCATAAATATGCTGAATAGATACACAATAGCTAGGTTTATACATGGACCAGAATTTTAGGCTCTCCCTCCCTTGCTCCTTGATGTTTGGCAAAGAGGGTTACATTTCAAGAAAGCCACCTAGGCAGGAAAATGAGGTGGTAATAACGGTGTAATGTGTATAGCTATGAAGCTGGATAGATGATATTTACTCTCTCTTATTACTGCTAAGGGAGTGGGGCCTTGAGAAGTCCCTCAGCTGCCCTGTGACCTAGGGTTCAGTTGGAAGCACACCTCCAGGCAGCCCTTGTGCACTGTTTTTATAGCATCATGCTTCCCCCACAACCATGGAAAATCTGCTCGCACATACTGGTGTACAGTGACGTGTCATCATCCTCATCCTCCTCTTCTTCCTCCTCCTCCCGAGCATACAGGCAGGATGAGTCTTCATAGTCAGATTCATGAGGCACATTTTCTTTATTGTCATCACATTCAATCACAACAGTTGGCACTTGTCTTATTTCCGGAAGTCCCATGGGTCCTGCTTTTGTGACACCGTCACTTGAGTGCAAACCAGAGCTGTGGTAAGAAGTGGAACAGGGGACTCGCTGCTCGGAGCTGCTTAAAGAGAAAACAAAGGAAATGCACCTTAGTCAACATGTCCTATGCAGACCTTGGGGCTGCTTTAAAATTCAGCTGTCCCACTCTCAGAGACAAAGATCCCCCAGGCAATGTGATCTGTTGCTCATCCTGTTGCTCATTCTATAACTTGTCCTTCTAGGGCAGTGCTTTCCTGATGGAGGCAGTAAAACTTTGGATGGATGGTGGTGCTAAATGCATAACAACTTCCAGCCACTGGATGGCACACTTTGAACCCGTTAAAGTGGGGCTCCTCTCCATCCTAACTGGGGAAAGGAAGAGATCTCAAGTGAGCTAGTAAGTGAGGCTCTAGTTTTTAAAATCTATGTAAAGCAGTGACAGGAACTGAGAGTGGAAAATATTTTGAAATGCTCTGGATGGAGATACAGAGGGAGAGGAGAGCTGGGATGAATATAAGGCTGAACCCTGAGCTTGGACATCAAGGATGACATGGCCTCGGGCCACCTAGAGGAAGGTCTTTCCCAAGGATGGTTCAGTAGGCAGTCACAGGTAACATTAGCCTAATTTCCTGCCCCACCCTCTTGGCCAGTTTTCTAAGAATGATGCTCTCGAAAGCAATGCAGGTTTAATAGATTTTTAATTAAAAAGACACCTAGAGCATCTACTATTAGACAATTGGAAAATGCACATCATTACAATTTCCTAATAGAGTCTGCATGAAGATCTCATAGCAACTAAGAGTATTTCTGTGTGAAGTCCAGCAAAATAATGGGAATATGGCAGTTGAAATATGCCATTGTTCCTCTCTTCCCATTTTCTCTCCCTTCCTCCTCCTTATCTGGGGTTGGGAACTGAGCCCCAGCCTTATATATGCTACTCAAGTACTCTGCCATTGGCATGGATCCCTGGCTCAGGTAAAATTTTTACTCCTTTTCTGTGTCATCAAAAATACAACTTGTACACACCTTTAAAGATTTCTGAATATGGGAATCTCAATATATTTTTATATCAAAAGTATCTGACATTCATAAGCAAATGGATTGTAAAGGTATATTATATATCAAAGCTTTACAGTAAAATCTTTTCTCCTAAAGGAATCTTATGTGCTGTAAGAAAACACGAGTTGCCTTTGAAGCTTTCAATTAGGTTTTAAGTTATTGCTGAGTCTAATTTAAATTCAATTAACTTTTCTTCCTTTCACTGTTTCCAAAGGGTTGCTTTTCTCTTTGTATTTTCCACATAACTCTTCAATGACACAAATTGGAAATCCAGTTAACACCAGATGAGCTATGATGTTCAAGGCAATGAACTAAATCAATTTAAAACAACAATTACTGAATAGGACAAAATCATGTATTTACTAAAAAATGTAGTGTCTTATTAGAGATTAGTAGTTTGAGATGGCCCATTTCCCAGTTAATTGCATAGAAGCAGCAATGGGAGCAGCAGGTAGGTAGAACACATGATAGATGGTCTCCAGGGTGACAAATACAATGTTTAACCATAAATTAGATGGAGTAGACACCTTACCGCTTTGCCCCTTCAAGGCAGCCCTTCCTACGGAGCAAAGATAGCAACTAAATCCCCACTGTGTCTGGATAGCTTTCTTGGGTATCATGGTGGTGGTGGTGGGGTGGCGGCAGAGACAAAAATATAATTCCATGGCTTGTGTTTTGTTCGACCCTTTCCTTCTCTCTACTTTCATAATCTAATTAGCATGGTTCCTAAAAGACACAGAGCTTAGGATAGGCATCTGGGAGTTAGGAAAGGGAAGCGAATAATAGATATTCTTATTTAGTGTGAAGAAATGTTAGAAGCTGGAAAACAAGAATGCCTGAAGGCAGGAAGGCACAAAGTGAATGTAAAGGGAAGAAGAGAGATAAGGGGAAAACGAGAGATAAGAAACTCAGCCTTATAGGCGGTGTGGCGGTTTGAATGAGGAAGGCCCTCCATAGGTCATATATTTGAATACTTGGTCCCTAGTTGGTAGAGCTGTTTGGAAGGATTAGGAGGCGTGGCCTTATCTGGGAAGGTGTGTCACTGGGGATGGGCTTTGAGGTTTCAAAAGTTCACACCATTCCCATGTAGCTCCCTCTCTGCCTCCAACTTGCGGATAACGATATGAGCTCTCAGCTATTGTTCCAGTGCCATGCTTGCCTGCCCATTTGCCTGCTTGCTCGCTGCTATGGCTCCTGCCATGGTGGTCATAGACCATAACCCTGTGGAACCGTAAGTCTCAACTCTAAGCTGCCCTGCAGGAAAGATGTTATGGTGGTGATCCTCGTTTTAAGAAGCAGGAAACAGAAGCTCTGAGAAGACAATTAACTGACCTATAAACAGAAATAACGAGGGAAGAGGAGAATTCGAACTCACTCTATAACAATATTCTGTATGTAAAAACTGAACTGTGATGCTTACAGGAATGTAAAGCCTGAACAGTTGACTGACTAGCTGTGCCCATGGAAGGGGGAAGACACACCATGCCTTATCAGCAACATGTGTAAAGCGTGGTATTGTGGCATTGCTACTCACTAATTGCTTTTGAGTGTCCTACCCTTGCTATGGCAGCACCGTGTTGTTATCTGGCAAGATTACACTCCAGATCCTTCCAGTCCAGTTACAAAAAAAAAAATCACACACACACAATCTCAGAACATTTGAAGTAAGTTTGTGACTGTGCGTTGGGCTCATTCATAACTCTCCTTGGCCTCATGTAGTTTCAGGTCACAGGCTGGATATAAAATGTCTTACTAATCAGGGAAGTAATAGATCGGGCCACTGTTGGGGCACCAAGGTCAATGACTCATATTGGACAATGGGCTCAGAAAGTCAGGATTTGTCCATTCACCCACTGCCATGGATGGTTACAATAGTTCCTATTCTTGCTTTCCTGAGCAAGTATCTCACAAGAAGCAACACAAGGGAGGAAGGAACTACTTTGGCTTACAATTTTAGAAGAGTATAACCCATCGAAGTGAAGTGGGCATGGCCACACCCATCACATCGAGGAAGGTGTGGCCACATGGGCATGAGAGTGTTGTTCATATTTAGAACATGTTAAGTGCATTTTGTAGACATGATAGATATTTTAATAATTATATATTTAATCAGACACTAAACTTTTATAAAAGGTTATCTAAATTTATTTTAGGAACCACCAGTGACAAAGATATTATTTTCCTTAATGGTGAACCTTGCCAGGCTTTTTCAACATTGGTATACTTAGCATTTAGAATAAGATAATTCTTTGCATTTGGGAACTGTTCTGAGCATTGTGGAAGATCTAGTACTGCCTCTGGCTTCTACCCACTAGACCGTGTGGAGTCTTAAGAGGATAAAAAAGGAAGTGTGTTCCAAAGAGTGTGTGCACTTCAATTACTGTGCTTGCTTTAGTAGGAATCCTGCCTGCTTCCAATGCTTGGCTGGTTTTTGATTTTCTTGGTAACTATTGTCCAGAAAGATTTTTCAGGCTAAAAAGAACAAAACCATCCGAGTGGTGGTATATGCTTATAAACCCAGTACACAGGAGGGTGAAACCTGCCTGGGCTTCAGAGAAAGGAAAGAGAGAGAGAGAGAGAGAGAGAGAGAGAGAGAGAGAGAGAGAGAGAGAGAGAGAGAGAGAGAGAGAGAGAGAGAGAGAGAGGAAAGAGAGAGCAGAGAGAAGAGATCCCAGCACACACTTGCACACATACTCATACACACAAATAACACACTTACAAACACACACACACCTCTGCACCTCCCCACCACTCACACGCACTAACACACCCCTAATGGATCTATTATAATGATGAGTTTTTGTTAACCTGCTGGTGTTTTCCAAGACAGTCCGTCTACAAACATCAGTATATAAAAAGCACCAGTATCACCCCCTGACTTTGCAGCATGAAGTCAGAAAGCATCTATCCATTTGACTGAGGAGGAATTGTGGACCAGGAGGTCCACCCAGTTATTGGCCCACAACTTCTTGGATCCACATCCTTCCTTCTAGTACCACACCTACTGCTCACACAGTCAAGCATGAGCTAAGACAGTTCCAGAAACTTAGAGACAAAGTTAGGGATGAATACCACGACTGATTTTAGCATGAGAAATGGAGAGTGCCGGGAAGGGGTAGGCTATGGATCAGCCTGTGTATTTATTGTATATGACATTGCTCATCACGTATCAAATCTCGGTTTCAGAAATATGGATCATTGGCCCCCAAAAGGACAGAGGACAGGCAGAAAAACGAATTCAATAAAACCCATTACAACTTCTGGAAAAGGGAACTCAAAATACACTTTTTACTCAGGAAGGCTGAGTAGCCTAGCCTATTTAGGGAACAGCACAGCTTCCTGCTGACTAAAGTCCAAGGGAAAACAAATGCTATAATGGTGTGTTTCTTAGCAGCTAATCCTGGACCACCATACAATATGCATTCGCTCTCTTAAAACGAAGCTGACGAACTGTTTCCTAGGGCTTCAGCGGCTATTTCTGTCATTTTCAGCCTTAGGCTCTGCAATTTGTAGCATAATTTCTCACACGTTTTTGGTCTCTGAGAGGAAGAGGACTGATTACTCTCGCCCCTTTGAAGACGCTTTGTAATTCATGTGGATGAAATTACAGCTCATTCCTGCTAGACCTTAGCTTCATTTTCCATGTCATGTTTGTGGCCAATACATTTTCTCTATCCTTTGAGGGAGATGAATGTCTTCTTGGTCCGTTTTAATCACAGATGAATGCCAGAAAGCAACATCCCTTTATTACATGTTTTTCTTTAAGAGTGATGCTACAGTTATCCTCAAAAACTTTTAGGGAGATGAAGGCTTTAAAGTAGTGATTTTTTGATGTGTGTGAACATGTATTTGTGCAGGTACATGTGTGTGCATGTGGGTCTGTAGAAGGCATAACCTTAGCTGCTGTTCCTCAAGAGCCATTCAGCTTGCTTTTTGTTTTGAGGCAGAGTCTCTCTGCGGCCTGTGGCTCACCAAATAAGCCAGGATGACTGCTTAGCAAGTCCCAGGGATTTGCCTGTCTCC